TGCTCACATTAGCAACTGTGGACAGCTGTTTCGCCCTTTTGGGGCTCGTCAGCACAGTGTAGCTAATGAACAAGCTGCACATCCAGATATTTATATGACGACAAAGTAGGATGCGGATGTGGGACACAGAAAATATTATAAAAGTGACAAAGTAAGTCATATCTCGAATACGCATGCGTACTACATGTCGTAGTTTGAAAGCAGCGTAAAGAGCCATGAACGGACTATGACAGTGTGTCCTGCTCACATTAGCAACTGTGGACAGCTGTTTCGCCCTTTTGGGGCTCGTCAGCAGTCATATAAATATCTGGATGTGCAGCTTGTTCATTAGCTACACTGTGTTGACGAGCCCCAAAAGGGCGAAACAGCTGTCCACAGTTGCTAATGTGAGCAGGACACACTGTCATAGTCCGTTCATGGCTCTTTACGCTGCTTTCAAACTACGACATGTAGTACGCATGCGTATTCGAGATATGACTTACTTTGTCACTTTTATAATATTTTGTGTGTCCCACATCCGCATCCTACTTTGTCGTCATATATATATATATATATATATATATATATATATATATATATAATAATAATAACAGTAATAATAGTAACTATATATATATAATAACTATATATATATATATATATATATATATATATATATATATATATATATATATATATATATATATATATATATATATATATATATATATACGCGATGGCTATACCTTAAATATTCCATTTACAGTTTACATTAACAGAATAAATAACAAAACAGAAGGAAAAAATTAAAATCTCTTTAAATTCAATGCATTCTAAAGAAAGCAGATTTTGAATGCCATCATTATAAAAACACTCCTATATCCATCATAGTATATATTCCTTATGAGTTATGGAAATCAACAATGCGAATTTTAAAGTCACCGTATATATACTGAACCATTAGTCTATATCTGGTCAACTTGGGCAGGTCAACATGAAATTGATAACAGCCTTCAGTGTTGAGGTATAGTTTTGCTGCATCGCAGTTCAATATTAGTTCAACCATCTTGCCTCCTTTGAAAGCATATTCTCGCTCCAATATTACATCAGCTTCAGTGTCAATTTTTCCACTGTTGTACCTTTTTAGCAATTCATGGTCTCTGCCGCGTACTGGCCGCGTTATGCCCCATCCACAGAAAGCTACTGGGGAAGAGAAATAATCTTCCTTGTCGTTTTCTAACTTTTCTTTGACCATACCAATCCTAACTTCGGTATCTCCGTCCAAAAAGTTCATTTTCTCAAGGTTTAATTTAATGCGAAACACTCCACGCTCGTAAATATTTTTACCAAAGACACCACCGGCATTATTACAATGGACCATGTTTTTTGTCATCGCCACTGCTCCGTTTTCATCTACTTTAGCGGCTCCATATTGTAATTCGAATTCTTCGGTCGTGGGAAGCTTTCGCATCTCATTCAAGCTTAATCCTAGATAGTCAACGAGTTTAATAAAACTCTCGACTTCTTCTGGGGCAAATCTAGACAAAGCTAGAGGAGCTTCAGAAGTTGTATAAGCTTTCTCGCGGAGATAATCCAAAATAACAGCAAAATATTTTGGATTGAAATCCAGAAACACATGACCATCTTTGTCGCGCGCCATTTTTGTCTCGTCCCAAGAACCACCAAACATTGAAGTGAGAAAAGAATCTTTGACTTGACATAAAGTAGATCTTTTTGTCGCCATTATTGTCCCACCAACATTTAGTTCGATTACATCGTCTTTTGGATCTTTGATTTCCATTGCCAGAGCACTTTGTATTCGAATGTTGTTGTCGAATCTGCAAGGTATATTATAGCTTCGTGTCCTTTCGATTTCGTTGTATTACTGTATATTTAATTGATGTGCTTGACTGCTTCCTATACACTTCCGCCTTTTCGTGTATGCATACAAGGCCATATAAAATAAATTCCTTGATTCTCATCGCTAAATTTTAAAAACTCCCAGGAGGCGGGAGGTTTATATTTTATATTTTATGTCAAAATATAAAAAAAAGTTTAAAATTTAAAAAATTGGAGAGGGAGGTCTTTTTATATTTGCCCTTAAATATATTATAGAAGAACGCTATATAAGTTGCACATGCGCTAATGAACATGCATAAAGCCCAGGCACAAAATAAAGATCAGTACCAGAAGGGCCACTCAGCGGTGCAACGTGTCACCATTTTTCTATGCAAAAATATGCAATTGACTGGCCAGGAAGATGGCGGCCAGCCAATACAGCGCGTTTATTGGCCAGAAAATGTAATCGACAGGGCTAGGAAGATGGCGGCCAGGGTAAAATATAAAAATAACTAAATCTCTGAAGATGCTCGGTCGGGTGGTAAATTTATATTTTATAACAAAATACAAAAATATATCAACGCGCGGAAACCAAAATATCGTCGGGCGGTGACGAGAATCAAGTAATTTATTTTATATGGCCTAAGCATATTTCAAACGCGCCGGTATTCTTTATTCTTACTGCTTGTTTGAATGCATGCTTAAGAATTCAAATAAAATCTTAATTGAATTCTTAAAAATTGTCACGCCACTACAGCATCATGGCATACATTTGTTCAAGAAACGTGCTATACGCCTATACAGTAGAACGGATCGGACTGGATTTTGGTCAGACAATTTCGGATTAGATTTCAAAAAAATTACCAAAATTACCGATCATACCGATTGCCAACCTCCAATCCAATCCGCACTACTTGATAGGGCTAGAAGCCGGTGAACTTCAAAGCCACAAAATAGAAAACCTTCGTTTGATGTTGAGCAACTTGAACGGCACCTCACCGTGCGTAAATCCTAATTGTCACAACTTCATTAAGAAAAATGATGTTATATATTAACAAAAGTTTATTGCTAGTGAACCATGCGTGATCTAGCACACGGCTCTGTGCCCACGGTGTACCGTAGACTATGCGTGATCCGGAAGTTGGGTGCAACTGTTCAGGTGTGTCTTGGTTAGGCAATATTCCTCAAGACCCAGGATCCCACTATTTTCCATGTCTGCCATCTAGACCCACAAAAATGGCTACTACACTTCGAATACTCTCGAATATCAATTAATATCAATGTTCATATCACATGTATATACTTTATACCCAATTCCCCAAAAAGGAAAGAAGATAGAATAGTTTTCTTTAAATAAAAATTATTAGATATATTTTTCGAAGTTCGGAGTTATTTAGTTTTCGCTGCCTTCAACAGCGGCAGACTGAAGCCATTCAAAAAACGCAGCCGTTGCTTGGAGAGCCGACGCTTTTTCTTCTTGCTTCAAAGGATTTTCGTCTCGTTTCCAAGACATAAATGCTTCTTCAGTTATAACTTCTTCATCGTAAAGTGTGTTAAAAAATTGTGACAGCATAGCTGAAAGAGGAGATAATCGTATAGTTCTATAGTATTTGTACATTTTTGAGGTTCAGCTTTGACTTCATGCACTCATCTGATTAGTTAATCGCGGAATATATCAAACGCATCTGATTGGTTGATGGTCCCTTATGGTAGCGGTAGTGGAAGTCAAATCTGAACCTCTATAAGGGACGGGCCTGCTTGTTTATTACAGGTAGTAGACCTAATATAACCACTCAGCACAGCATATGTCAGTTTAGCTTAGGTATTCTGTTGTACTGTAGTAAACACTTGAACAATAAAAGATACAGTTCTTTCTGGATGTCCAGGGACAAGTTGGACAACAGTTAAGAAATGGTAGAGCTACCAGTATATAAGTAAAGTTATATTAAGGTTTCATACTATCAACACCTACCTGCGGGTTTATTATATTTCACATATATTTCCTGAAAAGCAAACAATGCTTGAAGTTCCAAACTATTATTATTATTCAGATATTTCCGCAATATATCTTTCCTGGCTTTTAGCTTATCCTGACAACAATCTGGACCAACTTCTTGGTCTATAAATAAAAAATGCAAATATTCAGCATTGACCATATATAGTTAACAGAGTATATACGATTTTGGATGTAATATCATCCATGTACAGTGTACGTTTAGTAGTACCCAAAATCCACTTAAATTTTATTCTGTGACCTTTATTTATTATGCAGCTTTCAGCTACGGCTGTGACTAACTGACTTATAAATTCTGGTTCTTTCCTCTTTTCTTCTTTAAAATTTTTCTAAAACACAACAAGCGAACAGTTAGTCAACATCGGATCAATTTGGGTACTTTCCTGTTTTTCACCTAGGTGAACTGGGTTTGGCTCCTACAATATGCAGTGATTATAATTTCCATGGCTGGATTTTGAGGGGAGGTACGCACCTCCCCTGCGAATTTTTTTGCACCTCCCTTGAAAAGTCATGCACCTCCCCTTGGGAAAGTTTCAATGATAAATCAAAGTAAAAATTTGACATTTTTTCGTTGCTTTAATACGGTCTACACTTCGTAAGAAAATTTTTCTGTAAAACTGAAACAGTGATAGTTTTAAATCATCTGTGTGTCAAGTACCCTTTTAATGCAATGTTTTGAAAGAAACTTTGCAGTAATTGTAACGAAGGGCAAAATTGAATGTCACAGTTCATTAATCCACTGATACACATGTACACTACATGCCACCGCTGCACCTCCCCAAAATTATTTTACATCTCCCCCACTATTTCCACCCAAATCCGGCCTTGATATTAATTTCTCCTGCCATCTGCATCTTTAGAAGACTGCTTCCACTTGTCTTTAACTCAACCAAAGAGTACATGTCTTCTGGTATACTCCGGTAGTAGTACACTGCTCAAATGTGTATACACTTCAGGGAAAACAGTTCAGACCTAATTGAGCTATCTATAGTATGGATAAAATAAAGTTTAGTTTAGTTTAATGGTTAATGCGACTCCCCTCACCTCTATATAAGCAAATACAGAATCATTTTTAAATCGATCCGCACGAAGTAGTTGTAACAGTTCATCATTATTTTCATCGGGCGAAAAATATAAATTCTAAAGAAAGAAGCAGAAAAATAATAAGCCTAGAAACAGGTTTTATGCTAAAAAGTGAAATCCGTTTAAACTTGCTATAAAATATTGCTAGCTATTTTAACAAGCTAAAAGAACGAGTCTAATAGACAATTCCCCATTATAGATTAATTTTAAAACTAGGCAAGGAGATGCAAATAAATCATCACAGCTAGAAAGAGCATACTAAAATGAGTAAAATGCGGAAAATATATAGCCTTGCAAAGTTTGCAAATTTTGTATACTTTTGTATTGCGTGCGGAAATTGCTACCACTTTCGGCCCAAATGCATGTGGTAGCAATTTCCCCAAGCAATACAAATGTATATACAAATTTTGCGAACTTTGCAAGGCTATATTTTTTGCATTTTACAACATTTCGCAACCACATTTGCAATTTTACTCATTTTAGTATGCTCTTTCTAGCTGTGGTGATTTCCTTGCATCTCCTTGTCAAGTTTTAAAATTAGTCTATAATGGGAATTGTCTATTTACCTGCAGATCCTCACTTCATCTGAGAACAAACAAGAACTAACTAAAGACTGCACTGACTAAACTCCACATAACTACAATCCTAGAAGAGCTCTGCAAAAGCTCCGGTTTTTCAGCTCCAGCTGCTTTGCAACTTACAGTTGAAAAGTCCGGATAATGGCGGATTTGCCTCAATTTTGTCCCCAAAGTAAGATGATATGATGTAGCCCGTAGCTGGCTCTCAATTTCTAAAGGGGCACTGCTGAAAAATTTAGCAGAGATGTTTTTGTGCTAGTTTCCGGTCGCAGCCCTGGAAAAATTGGCAAAAATTCGTTCTTCTAGACCGTGAAGAATATTAGATTTGTCCTTTATTTATTAAAACTTTAAAGTAAACAACATAGAAAATAAAAAACATAAGATTTCCTTATATTATCGAATAGTAAATTCAGTAAAATTCAGTGAAATTCCGTAATGCTTCCAATGATTTTTCCTTTGATTACCCGCATATCTTAAGCAAATTGTTTGTCATGCATATAACATGGAGCCACAGGAAATATAATCTGATTAATAGTTTATACAAAAAAGGCATGGTCTGAATTGTAGCTTCGGCAAAAAATGATTAAAATCAGAAGAACAAATTTTGTGAGTTTGGGGGGGGGGGGCATTATGTCACTTTTATTTCCGGATGGGTGGCACTACCCGCCCAGCCACGGGCGTGGATATCATGCGCCTATCAAAGTATGACGCTTGCGATTGATTATAATTTCAGATTATACGTACTTCCATTATTTGTAACCAACGCTAATTCTTGGAAATTGTTACATTTCTTGTCATTCTGACTTTCCAGCTGGAGCTGGGTAAAGGATTTTGCTATTTTTACTACAAGCGCCAAGAATTTTTGACCAGAGGAGAATTGCATGCATGTTTAAAAAAGTAAACCACTGTGCTAAATTTCCATGATGCTGGAATTCCGTAACTTTGTGGCGGATCTCCACTATAGACGATTTTTGAGACAATTGTTATGACGATCATCATAAAAATTCGCGACGATTTAGAGAGAAGTGGAGATGTACTAGCAGCAAGAAAAAAAGCACTAGTATCCCACAAACATGTGAATTCCCTGAGGCCTTGTAAAAACAATTCCTTATCGAATTCCATATTTTGGGTTTGATTTGTTGTTGTTCTTCTGTTCCATGGTTGCTAGAGGTTCTCGTATCTTCCGCCCTATTCTTGCTCGTATTTATCACGTAATTTATAATACGGCGGCACAAGAACCTCTGGAACCAGGGCAAGGTAGTTTTTCTGCACGCGCAATGTGTATACAAGCACCATGCTGTGTATTCTGAGTATGATAAATCTGTTGTGATGTTGAAGCAAGTTGTTGAGATTGTGAAGGATAAAGTTTAGCAAGAAATTTACATTTTGATTTGGAGCTTCACTCAACTCGACGGTCGCCATATTGAAATGTTTGGACGAAGAATCTTGCAATCTTATTGCTTAAAAATTTGGCGATCGTCTGCCGCTTGACGAAAAGTAGAAGTCAATCCTACTCTTCGTCGAGCGCTTAGACGATCGCTCTTGGAACAATTTTTCAATTGCGCATGTGTCGTCGCGAACTGTTTTGACGATCTCTTAAAAATCGTCATGTGGAGATCCGCCTTAACACATTTTGTTATATTGTATGCCAATGTTGTGCAGTACCTGAGTGACTTGAGGTTTCTTATTCTGTGGCTTGGTAAGAGATCTCACTGCTTCTAGTGCGCTCTCTCTGTCTTTATCACTTTTGACCCGACTTTTATCACTTCCCCGTGAGCCACCAGACGAAGGCCTAAAAATGTGAAAGTCTATCAAGCAGTGTTGTAACGAGTCACCTATAGGTCGAGTCACGAGTCGAGTCGAGTCACTCAAAGGTCGAGTCACGAGTCGAGTCGAGTCATTTCAGTTTTTGATCAAGTCGAGTCGAGTCAGTGGCTTCACTCGAGTCGAGTCGAGTCAGCGGCTTCACTCGAGTCAAGTCGAGTCACTGATTTAAGTCAAGTCGAGTCAATTTCTAGACTTTACTTGAGCTACCCTAGCTTGCTGTCGGAAATTAGTAATCAAATTTGCGTTTTAAACTAATTACTTTAGTCATTTAAATTAATAACAGTATCTGGGCAGCTATAGGCTGTGCCAATATTATCACAGTTCCAGTCAACCACGTGAGATGTCTCATCATACCTGCTGATCGAGTGTACGTACATACAACTAGCAAAACTTGCAACTGGAGTCAGAATTAATAAAGAATAGACTTTAATTAACAACGCTTTGTAAGTTGATTTGAAATTATATAGCCCTTCATAAATACCAAAAATGAAAATAGCCTGTCAGAATTAGTATAAGTACAAAACATTTTGAGACTTAATTTTAAAAAACTGTGGCACTAGCGTTGTTTCTAAAAACAGAAATGTAATATAGGTATGCCCGTCAGGAATATATTCTATGCAAATCCCATATATTTTCTGATAAAGTTTCAAAGTTCTCATTGTTTACAGGGCTTATTGTTCTTCCCAAGCAATACAATCACAATAATTGTGATGAATTTACTCTGTACAAGTTGTAGATGAGTTGACTCGAGTCATTTACGGCAAAATCAGCAAGTCGAGTCCGAGTCGAGTCATTTGGGGCTGTTGACTCGAGTCGAGTCGAGTCATTTTTCGTATTGGACTCGAGTCGAGTCGCTGAAAATAGCGACTCGAGTTGACTCGAGTCAGAGTCAATGACTCGACTCGTTACAACACTGCCGAGCGGGTAAGCCTACTTGCCCGAAATGAACAAGCTTTCCTTGGTAGGAATGCAACTACCTGAAAAATACATGGATGGTTTCGACGTTTCGAGCGAAGGCCCTACGTCTGGAGTTACAGCAACTCCAGACGAAGTGGCTTCGCTCGAAACGTCGAAATTCTCCTTATATTTTTGCAGGTAGTTGCATCCCTACCAACAAAAGCTTGTTCATATATTATTGGCACTACACTGGAAAAAATCTTGAAAATCCATAGAATGGAAATTGTATGGATCTTTATTGGAAATAGAATGGATTTTTGACTATCCATAATAATTTTATATTTCCATACTATGGATATGGTATCGAAATAATCTGGATATACTATGGATTTAGTGGTGCAATTGCAAATTTCATAGTGTGGATTTCACATTTTTTTCCAGTGCTACCTACACTGGCACAGACAGTTCAAAATTATAGGAGAATTGAAGACGATCTTTAAGAATTTCTTAAAAAACAATCTGCAGGTCCAGAAAACGACTGTCACACCTTTCTAAAGTATTGTGAGGGCCAGGTCATTGTTTATGGCTGGGAAGGGGGGGGGAGAAGAGAAAATGGGTGGATAAACAAAATTTTATGGGTGGAAATGGGTGGGTTGAATAAAAATTCATCAAGCCAAGGGGTGGGTAAAGTAAAAATCATTAAGTCGGAAAATACTGATATTACAGAAAAATGTTGTATTATAAATAGAACAAAATAACAAGAATTTTCAATAGGAATGTTACTATAAAATATCAAAACAAAGTCAAAGGAATATTGAATGTAATTTCAGTCACTGTCTGGCAGATCAGTCACCTCATGGTGAACTGCCTCATCTCCGTGCAAGTCTTCTCTTTTCGACATGTGCAACTGAGGTTGACGTAGCTGATCATGCATGAACCATCTAATTCAAGGTATTATTTGTTTTATTAAGATCGAATATATATCATTTATCATATCGATTTGCAAAGTATTCCATTTTAACCTGCCATAACAGTCATGATACTGAAGTGACGGAGTTCATACTTGTTGGCTTTTTCGTTCTCTCAAAAACTCAAATAAGTCAATTTAGCTTTGACAAAATTAAGTTAGGATGGGTCTACGATTTTTAAATGAGTGCTGGGGTTGGGTGGAGAAAAAAGTTTTTGAAGGTTGGTTCACTAAAAAATTTGGCCAAGAAAATGTTTCTCGTCGGTGCCCCCCCCCCGGCCATAAATAATGACCGGTCCCTAAAAGAAAGAAACTTCTCTTTAGGTGATTCATCAGTTTTGTATTGCGCACTTTTATTGCCCATGCATACCTAATAACAAATTCTAGCTAACATGTGTAGTCGAACTACAGTGTAAAGTGATAAAGAAATAGTAAACTGCAAAGAGAAAAGACACTCTGCATTGATTAGGCGTGCTACAGGAAATATATCTTCAAAAATGACAGAACTCTGGCTAGGGCTCCGAGTAAAACTAAAACACTAAACCACATCATGTTGCATGTTTAGCACTTGTGTCTCTTCAAGAAGTCCGTGGCTCTACTTCCTTGTTTTATATTTTTGCTCTTCTATATGCTTTAGCTACATTCGCATCAGAAAATAGGAGAAAAATCACATATACAAGCTATAATATTTTACCGCATTTTTCGAGCATGCTTTCCAAAATAACATGTCTCAGAAGATGGGAAAGAACATATTTGCATTTATGTTCACGCTGAACAATTGCGCAAATTTAAGCAAATAAACTATATAAATTGCTGCGACAATCATGAAATTCTTTGGCTTCCCGTGATTTTTCAAGCATAATTGTTGGAGTTATATACCACCCACCGAGTGATAATGATGCATTAATCCGTGATCATTTACTTTCTTCTCTTACAATGATAGAGTCCAAATACCCCAACTGTGGTATACTTCTATAAATCCTAATTTCTCGATCCGAATTCCATATTGCACTTGTCATATCTTCTAAACGAGTTCGGTGACCCCAACTTTTTTCTGTTTTCACTGTTAGCATGCATATCATATTAAACTTCACCCCTGGGAAGTTTCAGCAAATTCTCATTTCCAGAACAATTACTGATGAATCACCTTAAAAAAAACAACTACTTATGTACTTACAGCAGATGACGAACATGGCAGTCAGACCAAGAAGATACAGAATTGCTTGATTCATGGTTCCAATTTCACTGCACGTGTTGCTGTTAAGTTGGAAAATTTTCTAAGTCTATACTCTCTCGCGCGATCTCCCGTCCTTTTATACAGCATTGCGTTGAGCAGTTAAATTCATTTACATTGATAATTATTCTCGTTGCTGGGAGAAATTTCTCGTAGATCAAAGAAATTCTTTGAACAGGCATCCTAGCAACTTTGTTAGCTTTTATTCTATTCTATCATTTATTTTATTATATCTTCATAAGATAGAGTTTTACCAGTTACACAGGCCTTTCAAAAAGTTCTGGCACAATTCATCGCGCACGTGCGATTTCAAAAATTTGGCAACTTACGTAAACTGTATGTGTCACAAAATTAACACGTAATCAATATCTTTCAAGTGCATTAGTACAGCATTATTTGCAGCATTATCTGGTCAGTTTTTGTTCTTGAAGTGTTTTGCCATGAAATTACGCAAACCTTTCAAAGAGAATTGGACGTAGAATTCACATGCATATAGATGTTTTAATTGAAAAGTTTTTTCAAAAACTGTCGCAATAATCAGGCAAGACGGGAAATTTTTCCATGACAAGTTTTTTAGTTGCCACAGGAAACCAGCCAGGCCAATTACCGTGAGAAAATCCGTCAGGCAACAAATGATACAATTGTAAAAGCAAGGACTCGCGTAAAATTTAGAAACATTTGCAAAAATGTTCAAAGAAAGTATAAAATTCTTGGCGCATTTTACTCCGCACAGTTTTCGCACCTATAAACTCAGTAAAGATTAATAATATATCACTTTTTCACTGCAAAATTGTACATTTTGATTGGTTCCTCAGCGATCGTTAGCCTGCAGCGCGGACCGCTGACTGGTCTCGATCATAGTATATCGGTCGCTATATATAAGATGGACGCTCGCGAAGAAAAACTTTATTAAATAACTCTTTTTCCAGTAAAAGAAAACCTTAAATATGTGATCTCGGTAAGTTTTTTATTTAAAATAACTTACTTTTCTACTATAGTTTTTGTTAAAACGTTGTTTACATGTACAAAAACGCTATTTGTAATACTAAAATGCTGAATAAGTGAAACTTAATTAATATAAGGGCTTTCTCGGCGAACTAAAGTGAAACTGCACTCGGTATACGTAAAAACTGCTATGTTTTTTACTTTTGATATATTAGTATCGGAAAATATGTTGTTATTGTTTTATCTTCGACTATATAAGATATTCCAATAAGCAGCATGCACGATTTTGTAACTTGTACAATATAATGCGCGGCGCAGGGCATCCAAAACATAATGTACATAAAAGGAAGATTATTTGGGATACGTCGAATGGGTGGAGCAGCATGAATTATATAATTTTCATTATATAACTTCTTTGAGCAAGATACATTGTTGTTTTGTGTTTCAGAGTTTTGAGCCAAAATAACAAAGAATGGGTGAACTCTTATATGGGTGACCTATAGAGCGCATAAAAGTGCCCTCGAATGTCATTGATGTAATAAGAGACAAATGAATAAATTCTAAGATGGGAGATCTATGTGGTCATAAGTTTATTGCGTAATATATAGATTATTGTTCAAATCAGTAGCTACCTCTATATTGTTTTGCTTATTGGGTCATTGGTTATGTCACAATAAATGTTTTTAAGAATGTCTCTATTTTCTAATCAAGATTCAAAAGAGTTTTTCTCTATGTAATATTTGCAAGTCAAACAACAAATTTTGAGAGAAATATTTCTTAAGTCTCTATAGTGACTAAAAACTAAATTGTGACATTATAAAAGCTATACAGATCTGGCTCTCGGCTTATTGAGTGCACTATACGCGAACGCATGCAAAGCAGAGCAGAACCAGATTCTGGACGGCTGAAACGCGTGGAGTGACTTTGAAATCATGAATCAATCTATCATCTGTCTGCTCGGTCTGACTGTCGTGGTGGCCGTCGTGTGTTGTAAGTCGCCATTTGTTTAGTCTGTTTTTAGAGAAGGTTCTTTCCTGTGTCGCGTATTTTAAACGAAAGATATTCGTAACCAAGAATTCTTCCCCACTGAACAGTTGAATTGGTCGAGCTTTTTCCGGGTCAAGGAAATCCGAAATTATACAATCTGCGTTTTTAATGAGTTCTGATAATGAACTGAAGCTATTAGTTAGCGAATGCCAGTGGCATGCATGCACTGACCGAATAGTTGTAATGAAATATGCTTTAAATTTCACTAGGAATCAATGATAGCATGCAGTCGTGAGAGCAAGTTAATATAATCATTGTATTAAATTGTGCTTTTTATAGCTTCAGAAAAAGTGGAGCAGCCTGAATACAGTGAGTCAAAATTCGTTTTTAATTTGTAACTAAATTGGAAACCTATTGAAAAAGTTGTAAAATACTGAAAAAAGTTTCCTTGAACATTTTTTCATAATTCTATTGTTTGTATTTTGGTTTTTCAGATAAAGGTTTGGTCATTAAGAAACTGTGCTTCAAAGGTATGACATCATACACATTTTTTGACTTCCTCACCAGCGCATTCCTTAAATCCGTGACCTAGACATTTTCGCTGATAGTTACGTACTTCAGTAGGGTCTTGGTTTTCGAAACTACAATATAATTATTCTTTTGTTATTTGCTTGAGGTAATTAACAGAATCATGAGGTGATTTTCTGGGGAATGATGAGAACAGCTTCATTCACATCCTACGGGACATCAATTTCAGCTGGAGATGAATTATAGAGTATAATACATGCCCCTCCACATGTAATAGTAGTTTATTGAAAAACTCTATTGCACTACAATTACTGAATTGGCGAACTTAAATGACATTGCAGAATTACTAATTAGTAATAATACTTAAATCAATAATACAATATAAAATATTATTTACTACCACAAAGCTTTTTGCGCGGATTATATTTCGCGCATGCAGTATTAAAATTTGCGCACCCAGCGCTACACGAATTCTAGTATTGCGCGAATTTTAATACATGTGAGATATAGTGTCGACATTTGGCTAAAACTATCGTAAGGAATTAGGAGATTTTGTTTAATTAAAACTACTTGTGTAGTCAATCTGTCAACCTTTAACTTGTCCTTGTTTGTATTCCACTATATTGTATAAATTCGCTGGGTCCAAATTTTGGGGTTTTCGAGTCGTTTAATACAAAAATAAAAACATTAATATTCAACACGCAAAAAAGTCCAAACAAAAATGAACACAAGTACACAACGGATGTTTATGAGTCTACAACGTATATTTATAGTTGCAGTTTATTAAAGTCAAACTGTCAAACCTTTAACTTGTCCTTGTTAACTGTATTTCACTATATTGTATATTCCACTATATTGTATATTAAAATTCGCTGGGTCCAAATTTTATTCGGGGTTTTCGAGTCGTTACACAAAGAAAAAAACACATTAATTCAATACGCAAGAAAGTCCAGAGTGCGACGCAACGTAAAATCCATAGGAAACCGGTACAACTCTTTGAAAATTCAACGAAACTGTGTGAAATATATTTTGATCACTCAGCCAAAAGCCGCTATTTTGAAACTGGACTGAATATGTCACCCTTGGAGTTCGGAATTGTGCGCGTGCGTACAAGTCTATATATGGGCTAATAAGCGAAAAATGTACCACAAGCATGGCATGAGCCGGCTATTACGTACATAAATACGAGCATGTTACTATAATATATAAATCGTGGAATCGAAGAATCGATGGCATTTTGGCTTAGTCGTTGCATCCAGAGCCTGCGAAATGCGCGAACGCAAACTCGATTTCTCGACGACGAAGAAAACAGAAAATTAGGGATTTAAGACACTTGGCTTTCAGGTCAGTGTAATGAAAGCAATTAAAATCAATAAATTTATCTTTTCTATTGTTTTTAAAAGGCTATTTAAAACATTTTCCTGTGTTCTTATAGAGTTTATAGAAACACTTGTGAAGTTTGGGAGAAACTCGAAATTGCGTGGAAACACTCGCACTTTGTGCTCGTGTTCCCCCGCAATTTCTCGTTTCTCCCAAACTTTCACGCGTGTTTCTATAACTCTATAGAAACACGGAAAATGTTTTCTATTTCTTAAATAATAATAGGCCAATGAAAGTATTTAAAATACTCATTAATAATTCATGACGAAAATTCAAAAGAAATGAATGTTTAATCAATGTTTGTAAAAAATGGATAAAGATTTATCTTGATTTACATAAACTTCAGTTTTGATTTTCTCGACTTAGACAATGTTTATTTTTAAAATTACTTCGCCAATGAACTTATAAGATGGGTCGTTTTTTAAGTACTATTTAAAACGTGAGCAGCAGTGTTTTATCAGATATATCTATCGAGTATTTTTAGGTCTGATAAAACACGCACTGCGAGTGTTTTAAATTGCTTCAAAAACGATCGATTTATATAGTAAGTTCATTGGCGGAAGTAATTTTTAAAAAATACGTTGTGTATAAGTCGACAAAATCAAAGTTAAAGTTTATGTAAATTTATGTTTATGATTTTTCTTTGTGTTTTCCTCATGAATTATTAATGAGTTTTTGAAGTACGTTAACTCCTGGCCGACAGGCCCTGAGAAAACTAGGTCGATAGTCGTATTACTATTTTGCAGATTCGTATTTTCGGTTCAGTTTTTGCTATGTAGATGAAAATACCATCATTCGATTCAGCGAAAAAATATCAACAATTCCTAGCAATAGTTTTAGTCAAAGACAAACATTATATTAAAACATTCGCATCCGATCGTTTATCTGATATACAAACTCTTGCCTTCGGCTCGAGTTGTATATCAGATAAAGATCGGCTTCTCATGTTTTAACTGGTACGTATAAAAGTGCAAACGGATTGTGATCTCTTTGCTCAACAAATAGAAGTGTCATTAAAAAGATAAAAATTTATCAGAGTTTTTAAGATAAAATCGTGTTCACAAACAACTGGCTTTGGCTGCAAATTAAATCAGGCTTGGTTCCTACCCTTTTTCCTGTTTATACCCTAAAGGCTCATTTACACGATACGACTAGTTGTATACGATTGTCATTCTGACGAATGAAAACGAGTGCTAATGCCACGTTATTGCTCATTCGCAAATGGCGATATTTGAAATGTGACGTTTGTACGCGTGTTTATTCGATCACATACGCCAGAGTAAGAATCGTATACAACTAAAAGTACCTGTAACTGTCCCGATTTAATAAATACACTTTTTGAATACATATAAGTGGCAGTAAATTGCTCCAAAAATGCAACAGTTTACAAGTTTCTCAAAGTGGGGGAACCAGTGGCGTAACTACTATGCGCTCAGACCGGGTGAACCCGGGGGCCCCCAACCCAAATGGGGGCCCCCAGGCTTAGGCGATAGGGCAAAAACATTGGCCAGGGCCTCTGATATGTTACAATGTCGTTTTTTGACCATCAGAATTCTGTAAAATCTCTCCCCAAAGTCCAGGAAATGGCATTTCAGAGAGTCTAGATTCAAAAATTTTCCGGATGACCATGCCCTGGACCCCCTAGAAAACTCGTGCATATACGGCGCTCGACTCGTGCCTTTGGCACTTCTACTAGGGGGGCCTTCGAAAATTTTGAACCGGGGGCCCCTTGATATAACGTTACGCCACTGGGGGGAACGTTATTCAATCTTATTCTTCAGAGGGTGGTAAAGGGTGTTCTCGTCATACGAGTTCTTGGTTTGCACTTGACCTCATGACAGCCATGTTGGAGTAACGCTAAAAATATAATATCATCAGCAGCTATTGTATTTTGAGCGTTTTTTCCTTCAATATGCCCCCATATCGTTGTCTTATAAATCTGAAGCGATTGATTTTTGGGTGTCTTGTGTTCGGGAAACACCAAAGTACACTCAAAAGATGTATTGAGACACCTCTAACACTTATTGGGTGTATATAGTACGAATTACAAGTGTATTTGGTGTTTCCCAAACACAAAATGGGTAAACATTAAATCAGTGTCTATACAAAGCTGAAATGATTACACTATTTTGGTGCTGTAACAACACCCAAAAATTGAGGCTGTAATTATCAATATTTGTTCTCGGGAAATGTGAAATGACAGGTTTTTGTGTCGTGATACGTTATTGCATGTAATTTTTGTCCAGTAACCAAGAATTTATATGAGGCCGGTAGATAGAACAAAGACTGGACTAGCGTAGCTAGTGAGAAGTGCGAACGTGATCAAAAGCAATGATTTGGATGCAACAACTATATTTTTACTAGATATATAGTACTTAAAAACGTTTTTCAATGCTGAGCTTTCAGCGTAAAAATAGGGAAGGCATTGAAAATTAATACTCAAGATTGAAAATAAAATTTACACAGTAAAAAACGTATATTTTTAATTTTTGCGAACTGGTTTATTTTTTACATGTGAAACGTGACATGGCTATTTTTAATTTCTGCACGTGAAACGTAATACAATCCCCTCCCTCCACCTTTTTGCAATCCTTCTTCAGGCATGGCTGCCCCATTACGTACAGCTCTCCCGTTCTTTCGCCCTATTTAACACTGCATCGTTATCTTACTGACTTTCTAGAGTGTAGGAAGTTGGAAAGTTTGGGCAAGTTTGTAGCATGTGGCAAAGACGAAACCGCTGTAAAATGCCGTGGAGCAAGTCAGATGTATAATGGCAAAGGTTGTAAAATAAACAGCTGTGGTTTTGGCGAAGGGAATGATTTTAGCGGGAAAATTGAGGCAATATGCTGCAAAGAAACGGAACACAATTAGAGTGGCTAAAAATTCGTCTACCGACGTAACTAATTTGATATCCTATACCACGTCTGGAAAAGTTGGAGACATACGTATAGTTCTTAGTCGAGTGAGGGATTCATAGAAATGTAACACATTCTTTTGCAAAAAAGCTTAAATTTCATACAAATGCATTAAAACTGTGGCTTTTGTGTGGAAACTAACTTCTCCGTAGGCCTTTCAAAAATATAAAATTGGTGTGAAACGAACGGAAAGACTTGCGGACTAATTTTTCCAAGATGGCGGAGCCACAAATTATATTTATATATCATTTTACCAGAACAATATTATTATTAAAGTCTTTAACTACTTCTCATAGCCTATAAACCGCTTTTCGTATCCGCAATATGCATAAAAACAGTGAATACTGAACAAACAAGCATACATTGATCTGTAAAGAGAAGCAGATAAATATCAGTTAATTTTCATATTAAATTCTAAAACAGAAAAGCACGCTTTTATATAACACGTCGTATGTCAGGCATGCGGGGACAACCTAAATTTATATCAGAATATCTTGTAGTCCTTGATGAAACTTCACTAGCTGCCTGTAGTTATTTTGTTAGTTACAAATTCGGGGGCTGATCCCACGAAAGATTTATCATACAACATTTCCTTATTTTTGTTTCATCATTAAATTGGATTTCAATGTAGTTCTGACTTTCGACAAGTCGAAGATTTTGGACATTTTAGAAAACAATACTAAACGTTAAAACTTGAAAAACTTATTAACACAACATTATGTACTTTTTAATTTTAACTATGTATGCCATTTGGAACTAACTGGTGTTGTTCGTTTCAAGATAAGCACTGCATGAAAAGTTATTTCTCCGGCTAGCTTGTGTCAAAAAGACCACCAATTTCCCATGCACACGACGCGAGAATGACGTCTGACTAAATCAATTTCAAATTACACTGATAACTGTAGGGAGCCTCCTTAATCTGTATTTTTACTGAATCTAGTAGATAAATTTAATTAGAATTTTGTTTTTAGTGCACATTTTGCTAAATCTGTTGCTCAATATGATCTTTAAGCCGCAGGCACAGAAAACCTAACATAACTTTGCCATACTTGGGTGGAACAAGCAATGAAATCATAAGCTATATGAAATCAAAACTTATCACAAATTAAAATCACAAACAGAATACGGACCAATGAAATGCTCCTAAGTCCTAACAAACTATGGTACAATCTTAAACATGGCATATGTCCCTTTCTCATGTGTCAGCCATGTTGAAATTAAATTGAGGCTAAAACGCACGAACCACACGTACAAGTAAGCGGAAACAATCCAAAAAGTCCCTTCTGTACCTTACTTTCCCCGAGCCAACGGCGCGGAGCATAGGCAGCTAGGGTTGGGCAAAAATGATCAAAATTGTGGCCGAATATTTGGGTTCTCCATTAACCGATATCATTAACACCTGTATCGCGAATCGAAGCTTTCCGTCCGCGTGGAAGATTGCGCGTATTTGCGCAATCCCAAAAGTTAAGCAAATCACCTCTGAAAATGACCTGCGGCCCATATCAATCTTGCCAGTACTGTCGAAAGTGTATGAACGCCTAATCTTTCGCCAGCTTTCCAAATTCATCGATGATAACAAATTACTGAGTAGCACCATCTCTGCATATCGAAAGGGCCAATCCACCACAACGGTCATGCAAGCCATACGAGATGACATTACGAAAGCAATGAGTCGTGGAGAAGTCACGATGATGATCTTCGCTGATTTCTCGAAAGCTTTCGATACGATCCGTTTTAAAAATCTCATCTCGAAAATGAGCAAACTGGGCTTTTGCAAGGATTTTCTTACATGGACACTAAATTATGTCTCACATCGTAAACAGTACGTTCAGATTGATGATATTAGATCGAATACAACAAATGTTAATTTCGGCGTACCACAAGGATCGATATTGGGGCCGGTTTTATTTAATATATACGTTGCCGACCTTCAAGAAACTATCGATGCCAAAAGCCATCAATATGCTGACGACACAACAATCTATGAGCATGCCAAGGTCAAACATATTCATAGATGTAGAGAAACCATATCTGATTCAATGAAAAAACTCAACGACTGGTTAAATAATAGCAGCCTTGCCTTAAACCATAAGAAGGCGAAAGCAATGCTTTTCTCAACTCAACAAATGTCAAGAGTCCACCAATTGGAAAATTGTGAACCTAGAATATTTGTCAACGAACACGAACTAGAGCGCATAAAGTCATGCAAGTTGCTTGGCGTTCATTTCAACGAACACCTAAAATGGGACAACCATATCCGTCACATAACATCTGCCTGCTACGCCACCTTGCAAATATTAAGGAAACTTAAACATCTAGCTTCTTATTACCTTAGAAAGCAGTTAGCTGAAACGCTAATATTATCCAAATTGGATTATGCTGATGGTGTTTTCTATCCACTTCCGCAGTTTCTATCAAGGCGCTTACAGAAAGTTCAATTTGCAACTGCTAGTTTTGTCTTGGGTCGATATGTTAAAGATCAAAAGGATATCCTGGAAGTTGGATGGCTTCCAGTTAACGAAAGAAGAGACCTCAACATCCTGAAATCGAGTTTCAAAGCCATGTACTTCCCAGAGTGGCCAGAGTATCTAAAGCTAGAACGACAAACTTGCGTTCGAGAACTGCGCTCAACCAATGCAGTTAGACTAGTCGTGGCAAAAGAAACTGGAACGTTTCAACATAGTGCTGCGAAACTTTTTAATTCCTTACCTGAGAACATCAGGAATTGTGCTAATTACAAAGTATTTTTAAAATTAACTAAAGAACTTTTATTCGAAAGAGCACGCCAAAACTAGTTTTTAATCCGAACATCGATTTTATCTAATTTCAACACTTAAACGTTATAGTTCATAGTTATAGAATATAGTATTTAATTAGTATTTTAACAGGGAAGAGCCATATGTATGGATCTGTTGAATAAATCGTTATTATTATTATTATTATTATTATTATTATTATTTTCGATGTTTTGATTTATCGCGATATTTTCAATCGCGATTATCGTATCGAAGGTAGAAACTTGAGCGACGATATCGATATATCGAAAATATCGTCATGCTCGATGACTATACGTACCGTGATATTGTTTTGCATGTGTATATAACTTTTATAAAATCCTAAAAAATTCTTTCAATTCCTAGAAACTATAGTTTTTAAAAGAATTAAAACTATTTCCTGAATTATAAGTACGAATTTAATACGATACAAAAGCTAATATTGATGTATTAATCCGCGGAACAATGAAATTGCAGGAGACACAGTAGACACTGCATAGACAGTTCGGGTTTATGAACAGTAAATATTAAACTAGAAAAAGCCTTCATATTAGTATATTACTTTAATTTGTTTACTGGTTTTTAGTAAGATCATATATAAGCTTACTATATACTTTGATATTAATTAAAATTGAAAAATGTGGTCATTGTTTTTATCGCGATATTATCGAATATCGTGATAATTTCCTTGACAATAATCGTGCGATGATTTTTTTAATATCGCCCAACGGCTGAATTTAAATTAAAACTGCAGTGAAATTATAAATTTAATTTAACTTGAGCTTCAAACCAGGAACAAGTTCATGGACATCCCTAATATATATGGACATTGATATTTCACCAATATGTAAATATGAAGTCATTAAATATATAAAAGGATTGTTGTTGTATATGTACAAGTCAGATTGTGCTGTGGTATTTATGTTTTAACCCTTTCAGTGGCAATGCACCTTACTTTGTTAGTTTACTCTGTCTAATGCCAGACAATTTTACTTGTCAGGTGGACAGTGCATGCTGCCACTCAATGGGTTAACATAGTCGATGAACATGCCATATGATTCTTGACCGTGATAGTGCATTTTTTGCACTTGCTGGATGATATCGCAACCAAGTGTTGTTTCAGAGGAAGAGCCTTCAGATCATGCTGTGTAACAATTGGAATCTTGTATAGAGCCTGCTCTCGCATAAAGCAGGCAAGACCTTCACTCAGAAGCCAGGATTAATATTAATTCCCTACATAAACACTTGGAAACCGGACTGTCCCATCTTCCATATGCAGGACAAAAAACATGCAGCCTGGACTTTAACTGTTAAACAACCAAATCAGCATGATAATTAAATCTGTAAACAGTGTGATAATTTTTGCTTAGCCCAAACCAAAGCCAGTTTTCTAGAATTAATTTGCAGAATCCTAAGAATTGGACCTCCAACTTGAAGAGCTAGCTGTGCTAACCAAGTTGCATGGGCAACCCTGAATTGAAGTGACTAGAGAAAATCTTCAAAAAATAATAGATAGATCAGATTTGACTTCCACTACCGCTATTGCTATCATTAACTATTAACCAGATAAGTTTCATTTATCCAATCAAACAAACTGCCAGATCAAGTAGTGGTAGTGGAAGTCAAATTTGAACCTTTCTATATGGATTTCATAGAGACCAGTCATTATTTGCTGATATATTATTATAACTTGTATAATCAAAAGCTACAGTAACTATATATTCATTTATGATATTGAAAATTGATATATAATTATCTATAAAGTGAGAATAATTTTTTAAAAATATTCATAACATAAAATGATTCATGCATGCTGGTGATTGAATAAACCATATTGAGTGTTCATTCTGAATTTCTACAAATTCCTTGACATTATTTTTCCAGTACAGTGTAAAACTATACAGATATTAGGTTGCATGTCCACCAGTGTGCTGAAATACTATCCAGCTGTGACCCAGTCTTGTTCATTGTTACTTGCATCTTGCTTAATTAAACTGTTTTTGCCCCATTTCTTGTACCCATAAAGTTCTTTTCAATAATCTTGAAAACTTCAAAATCATTCAGTAAATTTAATTTAGAAATTTGGTGAAATGGGTTAATAGATGAAGAAATCATTTCTTCTTGTTCATACATATGGCCGCCATCTCTGTCAGGTGTTAGAGTAGAAATTTATTGAAGCCTTCAGAAAATAATTATGGCAACAAGGTTACATGTCACACTGCAGAGTTAGGCAATTATTTTAAAGATCTCAAGGGCACATAAGGTATAAATGTAAGGGCAAGGGAACAAAATAATGAAATTTTGAGATTCGGGGGCAGGTTTTACGATGGGGGTGCTGAACGTTCTTTTCCCTAAAAAATCCCTGACCAGCAG